ATGGGACTGGCCCTGAGAAGATTGCTCACATCATGGGGCCTCCAGATCGGTGTGAACACGCAGCACGGATCATCAATGACCTCCTCCAGAGTCTTCGGAGTGGGCCTCCAGGTCCTCCAGGAGCCCCTGGCATGCCCCCTGGGGGCCGGGGCCGGGGCCGAGGCCAAGGCAACTGGGGCCCTCCTGGAGGGGAGATGACTTTCTCCATTCCTACCCATAAATGTGGGCTGGTCATTGGCCGAGGTGAGTCCCTAAGGCTCTGCCCTTTTCCTGCCTGGCTCTGTACTTGCCAGCCCTTCACTAACCATGGTCCCACAGGTGGGGAGAATGTAAAGGCCATTAACCAGCAGACAGGCGCCTTTGTGGAAATATCTCGCCAGCTGCCACCCAACGGGGACCCCAATTTCAAGTTGTTTGTCATCCGAGGCTCACCTCAGCAGATTGACCATGCAAAGCAGCTCATTGAGGAGAAGATAGAGGTAGGTTCACGGGTGCTGGTGAAGGTGCCCTCTCCCCTTTGGATTGCTCACTGCAGCTGCCACTTTTTCCCTCAGGGTCCCCTCTGCCCAGTTGGACCAGGCCCTGGGGGACCAGGCCCTGCTGGACCCATGGGGCCTTTCAACCCTGGACCCTTCAACCAGGGGCCTCCGGGGGCACCCCCACAGTGAGTACTCCATGGCTCCTGGGTTGTGTTTAGTGTTGTGGGGCCTGGAAAAAGAGGGATAGGCCCTTTCTCACTGGGCTGTCTGCAGCCCCGTGTGATAGGTGCTATGAGACTCCACTGCCTTTGACCTTGGTCTTGGTTGTCAGCCCTAGCTTTGTTGGTAAGGACTTCTGTTTTCACACCCTCGAACCAGTTCTCATGGCCACTTCTCTCCCCTGCAGTGCTGGTGGTCCTCCTCCTCACCAGTACCCGCCTCAGGGCTGGGGCAATACCTACCCCCAGTGGCAACCACCTGCCCCTCATGACCCAAGTAAGTGTCAATACCACATAGGAAATTTGGGGAGTGGCACAAGGCCAACTACTGTGCCCTTCCTCAACCAGCATGTCTTCCTGTAGACAAAGCTGCAGCAGCGGCTACAGACCCTAATGCTGCCTGGGCTGCCTACTACTCGCACTACTACCAGCAACCCCCAGGTCCCGTGCCAGGCCCTGCCCCAGCCCCTGCAGCCCCACCTGCACAGGGGGAGCCCCCCCAGCCTCCACCCACTGGCCAATCAGACTACACCAAGGCTTGGGAAGAGTATTACAAAAAAATTGGTAAGTTCAGTGCTGGGGAGCAGTGGGGAATCCTGCACAGGGTCCAATTGCCCTGACACCCTACCCTGTTCTTCAGGCCAGCAGCCCCAGCAGCCTGGGGCACCCCCACAGCAGGACTACACCAAGGCCTGGGAGGAGTACTACAAGAAGCAAGGTAAGCTGCTGGGTGGGGATAGGGGTTGGGTTGCTGGGGCAGGGGGGTAGCTTCTTCTGTCAGCCACTCATTATCCTCTCTGCCCACAGCACAAGTGGCCACTGGTGGGGGTCCTGGAGCACCCCCTGGCTCCCAGCCTGACTACAGTGCCGCCTGGGCTGAGTATTACAGACAGCAGGCTGCTTACTACGGACAGACCCCAGGCCCTGGTGGCCCACAGCCACCTCCCACCCAGCAGGGACAGCAGCAGGCAAGTGGGAACTGCCACCCTCCTCCTCCTCCTTTCTCCTTCCAACCCCCGGCCACCGTCCATCCTGCCTTAGTGGGTAGCGCCGGAAACCCTTTCCCCTGCGGGGTGTGCCCTTGATGCCAGCTTCGGGCGCGTGGCCAGAGTCTCCCAGAGCCCCGCAGCCCCGCCGCTGGGAAGCACTCGATGGGTGCAGAGGCTCACGGAAGAGGCTCCTCCGGTAGCCACTGTTGGTGCGACGTTGTCGGGTGCTGGGGGCACCGGCCGCAAAGGTGGAACTCTGAACTGCTGGGGTGTCCCGGGTGGGGGCAGGAAGTGGGGACTGTGCTGGGTGCCACACTGGTTGCTGAACCCGCTCACTCAAAATCTGGCCACTTGGGAAGAAAATGTCTATTTTTTTCCCCCTTCTCAGCATCACTATTTTGGGTTTTGTTCTTTTTTTATTCTTTTATTTTTTTTAAAAGCCACCATCTTTATCCCCCGTGTCCAAGTAACTGCGTGTTGCAGGCGGCCCTGGCTCTGCTGGGATGGAGGGGAGCCCACAGAGGGGAGCCCACGGAGGGGACTGGGCTCTCCCTGCCTAGCGAGGCCATCTCTTGGTGTGCTTGCCTCTGTGTCTCGGTTTTGTCTGTGAAGTGGGCATGATGATGTTGCCACCTTCCAACCTACCTCACAGGGGTGTTGTGGGGACACCGTGATCTGAATGTTGTGACGCCGAGCCGCCGCCTCCCTCTTCTGTCCCCCTCCCCCCCTGGCACTTCTCCCCTGTGTGCCCTCTTCCACACCTCTGGCTTCTGCTGCAGACTCCTCTTCCTTCTCCTCCTCCTCCTCTTCTTCCTGCTTCTCCTCCACCAAGGAGCAGTCTGGCCAGTGGAGTCCCCAAGACAGACAGTCACAGTCCCCTGCTTAGCCTGTGGGGACTTGGGCCCGGCCTCTTGGCCCACTGCCTGGAGTCGCAGCCTCTTGTAGCCAGGCCGCCCTCCTGCCATGACCATTCCTGTCTCTCCCTCTCTGCAGGCAAATGAAGCAAATGGATATGAACTTCATCTGTGAAAATATTTTTTTCCTCCATTTTTGTTCCATTTGTGGGCTTCTTTTATTGGTTTCTCTATTTGATTGGTTTGGCGAGAGAGCAACGGCTGCCTAGGGTGCAGGGGATCCCCTCGTGCTGAGGCGCTCCCTCTCTCTTTCTGTGTGTCTCATCTTTCTCCTTTCCAAAATCGGGATCCTTCATGTTGAGCCAGCCTTAGAAAATAGCGAGAATTTAACCTCTGCCAAAAAGAAAATTTAAAAATTAAATCACAAAGAGCAGAACAAAACCTATAAAATGATATATATATATATAGAAATATATAAATCTCTATCTCCCCAGCCTTCGAGCCCACCCTCTGAGGGAAGTGGTTCACTATCTCCCTACTGTCCAGGACCCTATTCTTGTTTTTAAATAAACTTTTTTAAAAGGAAAGAAACAGTCACTCTTGCTATCTCTTTTTTTTCTTTTTCTTTCTTTCTTTCTTTTTCTTTTCTTTTTTTTTTAGTGTTTTTTTGTTTCTGTGTGGTTTTTGTTTTGTTTTGTTGGTTTTTTTGTTTTGTTTTGTTTTGTTTTAGTTAGCGTTGGAACATTCCTTGGACCAGGTGTGGGTGTCACAGGCCCCTCCTGCCCTGCCCATCTCTGTCTCTCTCTTTCTCCCTGCCCCCGCTCTTCCCTGGCTCCTCCCTATACCCACCCCAACCCCAGGACTGGCCTGGTACGTTGTCATCTGTTGAAGATGAGATAAACTGAGAAAAAAATGAGAACAAAACAAAAAAATTGTATGGCAGTTTTTACTTTTTATCGCTCGTTTTTAACTTCACAAATAAATGGTAACAAAACCTCCCTGTGTCTTGTTGGCTGTGGTCTGTCGGTCTGTCTCCTCTGCCCTTCAAGTAGGCTTCTGAAGCAGATGTTTGCTGCTTTTTTTAGGTGTTAGAAGCATAACCCTGGTGATGAGAAGTTGTGGGGATTTTGTCTTAGTTTGAGATAGAGGACAGTTTGAAGGCACATGCTTTCCTCACCACCCTCTTCAGTGCACGGGGTAGACAGGATGGAGTGGGGTGCAGTCCCTGAAACCATCTATCTTTTAAGGAGCCCTACCTAGCTGTTTCTGCACTTTCCCTTTGGGACGTGAGGAACCAGGCACTGAGGAGGATCCCTGGGGCTCACGTTCCCATGGATGTGGTCACACTTGTCACTAAGGATTGCCTCGTGTAAGCATCCCATTGGGGGCACAGGCCTGACTTGAGCATGTGTGGCTAACACTGAGTGGAAAGTAGAGGCCAGGCCTGGGTGAGTGATGCCCAGGACAAAGTGGACAGTGCCAGGGGGTCTGAGGCAGTGTGGCAGCCTGAAAGGTTCCCTTCTGTGATCAGAATCAGCCAGGGAGATAGCATAACAAGTAAAAAGTGCTAGCCCCAAAGCCAGGTGCAGTGGCTTAGTAACCCCAGCTAGATGGGGGGCTTGCGGACCAGCAGAAACGAGACCCCATTCTTCAGAGCTGCCCTCACACTATGTGAAAATCATGCCTTGCTAGAATAATTACCAGAGTCCACATGATGCAGTAGCAGCTGCCACTTCTAGGTGAAGTTGGTTTCCCTCCAGCTGTGCTAGGTACCGTGTCTGCCCTGTTAGCACCAAGGACCCACCTCAGGTCTGGGTCCTGTGTGCTGTGGAGAAGGGTAGGCCAGATGTTGGCCCAGTCCTACCTAGCTCACTGCAGACTCTCAATGATTGAACAGCACTTGGCAAAGATGCTTTCAGGGGCTTCTTCAGCCAGTATCTAGGGGAGAAGACACAATCAACGATGCAGCCCATGGCAAGAGCTATGTATGCTCCATCCCTCCAGGCGACCCCTGATACAGGCAGGTTTGTTATATTTAGTGCCATCCCATGTCCTTTGACAGTGGGTTTTGGGGATGGGGTAGGAGTGAGCCATGGAAACCCCGTGGGTCCAAGGATCAGAATACACAGTCTCCCATGCTTGTTTCCCACAGGGAGGAGGACACCACCAAAGTCCCTTATCTTCTATTGACACTAACCACCCTAGCATGTGCTAAGCCAGATGTGTGGGAGCAGTTCCAGGGTATCCCAGCTATACAGGTGGCAGTTGGGGACCCTAACATTCACACCTGTCATCCTAGAGTTCAGGAGACTGAGGTAAGAGGATTACATGAGTTCAAGGCCAGCCTGAGCTACTCGAGGCCTCAGCCTATGCAGCCTAAAGGAGATGGAATTCCCCCATCCCCTCATTTCTTACTGGACAGAGTTACAAATCCCAAGCTCGCTAAATGGGGCTTGGGGCTCACTTCTGGGTACCCACATATCGCAGAAGGTTCTTTTGCTGGTAAAAGGTCAGGACGGGCTCACATAGGGTGTAGTGCGTCTCGAGGCGCTTGCGGATGGCCCGCTCGGAGTCGTCTGCTCGGTGTTCCACCCGTCCTCGACGCAGCACTCTGCGCACCATGGTCTCCATGGAGCAGTCAAACACTATGACTATGTTGGGGGCCCTGCCCACCTAGGCAGCAACCAAGAGAACCCTGAGGAGAGAGTCTTCCCAAGAGGTCGTGAGGCTGGGGAGACATCAGGCCTCTGTTCTATTTTGTAAACTGCGTACGTTCATGGAGGCCAGAAGAGGACATCAGGTCCCTAGGGGCTGGAGTAGTGGTGGTAGTGAGCTGCCTACACAGAAGCTAAGAACTGAACTCCCAAGTCCTGCAAACAGCAGTATACACTCTTAAACACTTTTGAGTCAAGAATAGTTGGTTCACGCCTTTAATCCCAGCACTCTGGAGGTGAGGCAGGAAGATCTGAGTTCGAAGCCCAGCCTGGTCTATGGAGCTATTTCTATTGTTTGCGTGTTTTTGAGACAGTGCCTTGAACTTGCAGAGACCTGCCTGCCTCCTCCTCCTCCTCAGTGCTTGAATTGAAGGTGAATGCCACCATGTCTGGCACAATAGATGCTCTTGACTGCTGAGCCATCTCCCCAGCCTGCAGCCTAGTTTTGAGACAGACAGGGTCTCTCACTGGCCTGAAACTACAGGTAGACTAGGCTGGCTGACCAGTAAGCTCCAGGAATCCTCCTGTCTCCCCCATTCAAGAGCTCAGATCAAGCATATACACCACACCCAGCTTTCTATGTGACTCTGGGGATGGAATTCAGGCTCCCACACGTGCAGGGTTAGCACTTTGCTGACCTAGCCATATCCTCTACTCTTAACTTTTTGAGACAGGATCTCATATCACCCTAGCTGTCATGGAACTCCTGATCCTCCTACCTCTTAATGGCAGATACTGGAGTTACAGGTGTGCACAGCCACACTGGATATGTTCTTTTCTGTTTTACTTATTTACTATTATTTATTTAGAGACCAGATCTTTTTTGTTTGTTTGTTTGTTTGGTTGGTTGGTTGGTTGGTTGGTTGGTTGGTTGGTTGGTTGGTTGGTTTTTCGAGACAGGGTTTCTCTGTGTAGCCCTGGCTGTCCTGGAACTCACTCTGTAGACCAGGATAGCCTCAAACTCTCAAACTCTCGAACTCAGAAATCCGCCTGCCTCTGCCTCACAAGTGCTGGGATTAAAGGCATGCGCCACCACCGCCCGGCCGAGACAAGATCATTTTATACCCAAATCTAGCCTCAAACATTCCTCCTGCCTCAGCGTCCCGTGTGCTGATAGCATAAATCCTTTTCTTTATCCCCCCTTTTCCCTTTTTTGAATAGGGTCTCACTATACACCCAGAAACTGTTCATGTAGACCAGGCAGGCCTGGAACTCAGAGATCCACCTGCCTCTGTTTCCCAGGTGCTGGGAATTAACCATGGTGGATTAACCATGTATGTGCTGCCTTTATCCAGCTCTTTTTAGGACAAGGACTCATGAAGCCCAGGATGACCCTGAATCCCTAATCAGGGATTCACCTCCCCAGTTTCAGTGCTGGGGTAAAGAGTATGCACCACTATGTTTGGTTTCTTGCTTCTAATGGGGTCAGGGACACCACCAAAGTCCCTTACCACACAGCCTTGAGCTGACACAAATGGGGTTTCACTTCTACACTTCTAAGCCCTGGGAATGGACGGAGCCAAGGGCTTCAAACATGGGAGGTGAATCTCTGTCCTCTGAGCCTAGTCTCATCCAACCTGAGGCTTGATTTGCAGTGGTGTAGAACCTGAAGGTTCTCTCTCCCACTCCCCATCCAATGGCCTCTCCCTATAGGCAGCGAAAGTCACCTGCTGCCTGGCCCTCTGACAGTTGTGGCACCTGCATGTATGATTCTGGTATTTCATCCTTTTTCTTTTATTATTATTGGAAGGAAGGGAGGCATGTCTCAACGTTAGAGGACAGCTTTGTGGAAGCCTGCTCTCTTCCGTCTTTACGTAGATCCCAGGGGCAGAACTCGGGGGTTGGGGGGAGGTGTCAGGCTTAGTAGCAAGCACTTTTACCTGCTGGTCTCCCTTCATCCTTTTTTAAGATTTTTTTTTTTAAAAAACTATATGTATAGGTGTGTGCTGGTGCCCACAGAGACCAAAAGCAGGGGGTGCCCGTGAGGCTACGTAAGTGGGTGCTGGAAACTGAACTCAGGTCTTCTGGAAGATCATTGAGTGCTCTTTACTAAGCCATTTTTCCAGCTACTTCCTTCCTTCCTCCCTTCCTCTTTCGCCCTTTTATCTTATTTTTGAGACCAGGAGTGTTCTCTGGAGCTCTAGCTGTCCTAGAACTTTGTGGACCAGGCTGGTCTTAAAGTCAAAGAGATCCACCTACCTCTGCCTCCTGAATGCTGGGACTAAAGGCAGATGCTACCATGTCCAGCCTTGTTTTATATAAAGATGCTTGCCCTGTACACTTGCTCACAGAATGGAGACCATGCTGGCAGACGGGTATTTCCTTACAACCACTAGTTACTTGTCCACATTGTTCAGATACCCTCGATAAGAGAAGCCACTTGACACTGGGTCTATAGCTGTCCAAAGCTGCCCACACCCTCTACACTTTGCTTGTAGATGACTCAGAGCACCTGACAATATAGCCACAGTGCTTATTGTCAAAGCAAGTTTGTATATGTTCAGTATAGGTGCAAATTTCTTCCCTAAATATATTTACTTACATGTATTTACTCTGTCCATGTCACACACATGTTATGACATGTTAGTGCATGTGTGGAGGTAGAGAACACCTTGCAGGTGTCAGTTCTCTCCTTCCAGCATGTGAGTTCAGGACTCACACTCATGTCCTCAGGCTTGGATACAAGCCCCATTACCTGTTGTGAACTCCAGAGTCCCCACCCACTGCTTTAAGTCTGAGCTTCATTACATGTTTGGATATGGGGCTGCTTTATGAGCCAAGGACAGACTATCCCTATGCATCTCACAACCTAAGAAAGCAGAGTGTCCATGACTGCATCCCTGAACCACGCACCCCGAGACTCTCACTTAAAAACCCAAAAAGCAGCCAGGCAGTGGTGGCACATACCTTTAATGCCAGTATTAGAAGGCAGAGGTGGGTGATCTATGAGTTTGAGCCCAGCCTGGTCTACAGAATCAGTTCTAGAGCCAGGGCTACACAAAGAAATCCCATCACAAAAAAAAAAAAAGTTTCTGTGTGGGTATCATAGAGGGCATCCATGTGCCCACGTACAGTGCATAGTTAGGGCGGCTGCATGGCTTGGGGATAGAGTACTTGTTCATGGAGAGGACCTAGATTTCATTCCCAGCATATACATGATTGCTCACAACCATCCCAAGTCCAGTTCCAGGGGATCTGATGCCATGTTCACACCTAGACCTTAAAGGGCACAAGGCATATCTGTGATACATATATATGTATGTATATATGTATGTATGTGTGTGTGTATATATATATGTATATGCAAAACACGTATATAAAGTAAAATATCAAAAAGGAAGGAATTGGGGCTGGAGAGATGTTTCAGTGGTTAATTAGGTCCTGAGTTCAATTCTCAACCACACGGTGGCCCACAACCATCTGTAATGGGATCCACTGCCCTCTGGGGTGTCTGAGGACAGCAACAGTGTACCCACACACATTAAATAAATAAAATCTTCAAAAATAACAAACAAACAAAGCAAGAAGTTAACTGTCACCTGTCCAGCCTGCTGTGGTGATGTGTGCCTGTGTTCTTAGCATTCAGGAGGGCTGCAAGGACTTCCAGGCCAGCCTGGCTACATAAAGAGACACTGTCTCCAGAAACAGCATGAAACAGAAAGAAGCCAGCTGGACAGTGCTCTCTCCCTTCTATTATCCCAGCACCAGGGAGGTGGAGGCAGGAACATTCTCAGCTCAAGGTCATCCTTAGATACTTTTTTTTGTTTTTTGTTTTTTTGAGACAGGGTTTCTCTGTGCAGCCCTGGCTGTCCTGGAACTCACTCTGTAGACCAGGCTGGCCTCAAATTCAGAAATCCACCTGCCTCTGCCTCCCAAGTGCTGGGATTAAAGGCGTGCGCCACCACCGCCTGGCTTGATACTTAAGAGAGGGAGGCTAGCCTGGGCTACATGAAGCACTCTGGGAACTGAGGCTACTGCTCCACTTTGACTCCCAGATCACAGTTCCCTTTGGGTTATACAGTTTCACATTTTAAGAAATTGTGACCAATATTTAAGCAAGGTGGGGGTTGGGAGGCAGCTCCTGGAACACAGCTCTCAGCTTCCCATAAACCCTACTGGCTTGGTAACATGGGTCCTGTACATCCTCATGGCGACAGCAGTGTGAATGCTTCCTGCGCCCACTGGCAGCACTCTGCATGGAGAATCCACCCTCCGTAATCTTTTATAGGTTTGCACCGTCAGCATCCCAATCTCTTCATGCATGTGTTTCTGGGTGTGGCGGCCAGCATGTGGGCCTTGTATTGTTTGAAACAGGGTCTTTTTATGGAATTCCCAGCTGAATTCCAAATGTAGCACAGGCTGGCCCAGAAATCACAATCCTCCTGCCTCACAGGATCCCAGTGCTGGGGTGACAGGCATGTACCTTCATGCTCAGCTTCTGACCATTACTAATGCAGAAAAGAAATCGCATGTGCAGGCTGGGCAGAACACGGTAGGCAGAGGGCTCGCCCAGCATGTCTGAAGCCCTGGCTTCCATCCTCAGCATATAAACCAGGTGTGGCGGCATAGCCCTGCCATCTCAGCACCCCAGAGATGAAGGCAAATAGAGTAGGAGTTCAAGGTCAGCCTCTCCTATATTAAGAAGTTTGAGACCAGCCTAGGCTACATGAAATCTGAAGGAATTGGGAGATGGGGGGGTGGGAATCAGGAGAGGAAGGAAGGTCCTATCTCCCAGCCTCAGGTCCTCCCATATCCATCCACTAGGGTTTATGGAGAGTAGGGAAAGGGTGGTCTGAAACCTCCACTCAGGTAGCACACACCCTGAAGGGCACTCTAGCTCTGGGGAATCAGGTCACTCACAATCCGCTCAAACTCTTTGGCCTGTTTCAGCTCTCTGGGGAAGCCATCGATGAGGAAGCCGCGGCTCTTTGGATAAGACAACAAGTTGTCACTGACCATGTCCAGAATGAGACCCTGGGAAGGAAAGGGCATGGACTCAGGATCCGCCCCTCCAAAACGGCCAGGGGCTATGAAGGTCATTCAGTTTCCTCCTGTAAGACAGGAAACAGGACCCAGCATCCTAATCACTGGCTTCCTCTCTGCTTGCATCTTTTAAAAATAATTTGAAGTTATTTCTGATTGTGTGTATGTCTGTGTGTAGATACATTCAGGTGCATGCAGATGCCCTAGAGGCCAAAGATATAAGTCCCGGGAGCTGGATTTACAGGCCGTTGTGAGCCGCCTGAGAGCTGAACCCAGGTCTACAGTGCAGTTAAGTCTCTGTAACAGCTGAGCCACCTCTCCAGCAACTAGGCATGTAGCCCAAGCTGGCCCTGAATTCAGAGACTCCCCTGTATCTGTCTCCTGAGTGCTTGGCGCTTTTTCTTTCCTCTACCCCTATACATCATATACTGAGCCCAAGGCCTCACAAAATGCTAGGCAAACCCTCGCTCTCTGAACTAGGCACTCAGACTCCTCATACTTTGTTTTAGAGACAGAGTCTCACATAGCTAGGCTCATGGGAAACTTATACTGTCCTTAAACTCAGATATCCTCTTGCTTCTGCCTCCCCGGTGTTGGGATGAAAAGTGTGCCACCAAATCCAGTCACCTTGAACTGAACTTTCCATCTTCTTGCCTCCATCTTCCTGAGCAACAGGCTTGCCCCACTATGTCCATCAGATATTCTACGACTCTATCAGACAGCTTATATTACCTGACACACCATCACTCTAATTCTAGATAAACTATACTTTGCTCTGTAGGAGATGAAGTGTGTCCCTGCTCAGCAATTTGCTTCCTGGACCTTCTCAGTAGGGTCCATTGAATATGTGGGTGTGCAGATTGTGGGTATAGTAGTGATTTAAGTAATTTACTTAGGGTCTATGTAACCCAGGCTGACCTCAAATTTCCCATCCTCCTGCCTCAGCCTTTCAGGTCTGAGGATGACAGGTGTTTGCCACTTCATCTGGCTTTCTTTTTCCCTCCCTCCTTTCCTCCCTTCCTTCTTTGTCATCCTCCTCTCCCATACCTGATATAGCCCCTGACAAATCCCATGCTAGAAATTTTTTTTTTTTGTGAGGGAGGGGTAGTTTAAGACAGGGTTTCTGTGTGGCCCTGGCTATCCTTGAACTCTCTTTGTAGACCAGACTGGCCTCAAACTCGCAGAAATCCTCCTGCCTCTGCTTTCCCAACTGCTGAGATCAAAGATGTGTGTCACCACTGCCTGGCCAGGCTAGACTCTTATAAGTTTATTAGATCAAAAAAAAGTTATTAGATCTCTTTATTATTTACCTACTTGGGAAAGGATGGTGCATGTGTCATTCACAGGAGTCAGCTCAGAGACTGAATTCAGGCTGTGAGGCTTGGCTGCAAAGTGTCTTCGCCAACTGTGCCATCTCTGGTGCCTAGCATGGACTGCACTGTCTGTATAGTCAAGGATGCACCCATTTTCTGCAGTGCTGGGGATGGGACCCAGGACTTTGAGCATGCTAGGCCAGTGGCTTTTTTTTAAGTCTTATTTGTATGAGTGTTTGCTTACATGTATGTCTGTATGCATGTGTGAGTGTGTACAGAGCCCTCAGAGGCCAGAAGAGAATGCCAGGAACCCTGGAAATCAAGTTAACAGATAGTTGTGAGCTGTCATTTGCATGCTGGGTAACACACCCAGGTTCTGGGCAGGAGCAGCCAGTGTCCTTAACTCTTACATCGTCATAGCATTGTCAGATAAGAATAGTGTTAGCGCAGCAAGGCAGTGGGCTGGCCCAGGAGATGCTGGTGTGCGTGCTCCCATTTCCTGTGAACTCTCACCGTGGGTACCAGGAGTCCCTGCTGCATGATGTCCCGGATCTGCCGGCCCCTCTGAGTGTTTCTCTGAGCCTCCTCCCGCAGCAGCTGGCCCAGCTCCACGTGGTTTAAGCCGTATTTCATAGCCATGTTTCTGCACTGGGTCCCTTTCCCGCAGCCAGGCCCCCCCACCACAAAGATGATCAGGGGATACCTCAGAATATCTATGGTGTTCAGGAAAGAGAGCGGGTACCAGAATGAGTCTACAAGAGATCCTGGCCTCAAACTGAAGGATCCCTCTGTTGGGAGTTTCCTGAGCAGGCCACAGGCCATTTGCACAGACTTCCATGAAATGCCTTAGTGACTCCATCACCCCATTTTACAGAAAGTGAAAGAGGAAGGCCCTCAAACTCACCCAGTAGCACCCTGCCCCACCCACCATGTGGTCCTTTCTATCCTACCTGCTTGTGCCTCTAGTCACACAACCCCTGAGTTGGGATAAAGCTTCTCTGCCCTTTCCTCTCCTCCACAGTCAGCCATGGTACTTTGTCCCTTTCAACTCGCTTTGGTCTTCCTAGCCAGCCTCTGTAACTCAAGATGCACTCCCCAAAAGTGAAGAAATGAATGTCTCAGCTACTAGACACATCTGTGGAGTCAGTTGTTTATGGTTCTGTAAAGCCTGTCATGGAATCAGCCTATCTCATCCCTCTCAGGTTCAATGTCTGTGTCTCCCTTGCCCGTCTGCTTAACCAACTCTTTTGCATCCCACAGGCCCCCTTTCTCTGATTCCTCTCCCAAGAATTGTACTTTCCATTTCCGACACTGGCCCCTCTACTCAAGTTATAGTCCAAAGGTATCAACCAATGGTGGGGTGGGAGCATGCGCAGATGCGTTCCTGACGTGCAAGGGTTGGTGTGCACACCCAGGTGGTGGGGATACCTGCCCACCTCCCCTTTCCGTTGCCCCATGTAAACCAACGACCCCACGTCGTTACCCTTCTCCTGGGGCCTCAAAGCTCTGCCCACCTGGGGCAGCGTGGACTCGCACAGACCCATCCCGCCCGCAATGCCGGAGTACGCTGGGGCCCGGTCTCCACCCTGCACCGACCCCCCGGCTCGGCTCTACGTCACAAGGGACTCATTTTGCAAGATCCTCGGGATCCCCAGATTCCAGGGTACAGAGAAAACGGAATCTCAGACGCGCCCCAGAAAAGCCGCGGAAGCCACCCCACAGAGCGAGCCGCGGTTGCCATGGCAACTCGGCCTCCGCTCCGGCTTCTCGGACACATTTACGCTTGCGCAAGAGTACGGAGTACCCGTGCACCAGAAAACTCCATTCCCACTCTACCCAGGATGCTCCACGATACTTGCGTCGTGATGTCACGACGGACGTTACCACACGTGATTAAATTATCCCTGTTCTACCAGAGAACGCTCGCAGAAGGCGGCTTTATTTCTTTCAGAAGCTGGAGAAGCGTTAGACTAGCTAGGTACAGCGGTAGTTCTCGTCTCGGTGTGGCAGTTCTACTTCCGGGTCAGGCTGTGACGCATGCGCAGAGAGTTAGGTCTCTTTTTCTCTTCCAGCGTTCTCGGAGACTTAAGGGTTTGGAAATCCAAAGCACAGGATCACACTAACGTGACAGCCAAGAAAGGTGCTTTCCTTGGCCCGAGGGACACAACGAAGATCATCCAGTCAGGCCGACCGGAAGCAGCTTGAGCAACGGCCATGGCGGCTCTAGTGAGTATGAATGAGGTGGGAATAGACGTGTCACAGAACAGACCCCGCGCCCTCTCCTCGCCTTACAGACCCCCTGCTCTCTTGCAGGGCTCCAGCAGCCAGAATGTCACCGAGTACGTCGTCCGAGTCCCCAAGTAAGTCCCCGTCCATCCACACTCCAGAACCTCAGCCCTGTGTGCCCCTGCCACGCTGGCCCTCCTGCTCGGTCCAAGACACAATAACAGTTACACCTTGGTAGTTAATGTCAGGGTCGGTGACTTTGTCCTGTTTCCGACTGGTCAGGCCAGACATGGTGGCTGCCTTTAATCTCAGCGCTTGGGAAACAGAAGCAAGAGAATTTCTATGAGTTCACAGTCAGCCAGGTCTTTATAGTGAGTTCCAGGCCAGCCAAGGCTACATAGTGAAGTCTTGTCTCAAAATAAAACAAAATCCCAAACTGGTTTCAGGTGGTATGCATCCTGTTTTCTGTGCCAAGTGCCATGACCCTCAACTTTCAACTTTATCTTATGTGGGTATGTGCTAGGGCTATCACTCCACCACTGAGCCACACCCAGCCCCCTTTTATTTTTTGTTTATTTTGAAGACAAGATTCTTACTGTGTAGTCTAGGTGGTTTGACCAGGCTGGCTTTGAACCCACTAAGACCCATTAAGACCCATGCCTGCCTGCCCTTCTTTCTACATAGGGGTCCTCTACACCTTTGGTTCCTTTTTGTTTTCTCTCTCTCTTTGGTTTTTCGAGACAGGGTTTCTCTGTGTAGTTCTGGCTGTCCTGGAACTCACTCTGTAGACCAGGCTGGCCTCGAACTCAGAAACCCGCCTGCCTCTGCCTCCCAAGTGCTGGGATTAAAGGCGTGCGCCACCACTGCCCCGCGGTTCCTTTTTTTCTTAAAGATTTATTTATTGTTATCTTTGTGTATGAATGTTTTTTCTGTGTGTATATATATATGTTCTGTGAGAGTGCCTGGTGCCCATGGATCTTTATCTGATGGGGTTGGATGAGAAATGGGAGCAGTGGTTCTCAACCTGTGAGGCGCCCAAGACCATCAGAAAACACAGATAGTTACATCATGATTCATAACAGTAGCAAGTTGACAGTTACGAACTAACAACAAAAATAATGTTCTGGTTGGGTCAGCACAGCATGAGGAACTTTATTAGAGGGTCGTAGCTTTTGAACGGCTGAGAACTAGTGCTCTGGAGTCTTATAAGAGTTCCCAGAATTACCTACAACCAAGGGTGTAAATTATAGATGTGTTGAATGAATAATCAATAGATTGAATAGTTTCTTGCTCATTCCAGGAACACAGGCAAAAGATACAATATAATGGCTTTTAATGCAGCCGATAAAGTCAACTTTGCTACCTGGAACCAGGTAAGTGTGGAATTCTGGGTGGCTGGGACAGGGGCCTAATCCTACCTAGACTGGTGACTGTAGCAATCACATCACTGAAACGATGGTGCCCACTCCTGTAGCCCCAGCAGACTTGTGATTCCAGCCATTTGGAGGCTGAGGCAGAAAGACTTAGTATTTCAGATCAGCCTGTGCTACATAAATCCTATCTCCAAAGAAAAGAAAGGAAAAGAAAAAGCATCCTGAGGATGTGGTTCAGTTGATAGAGCACTCATCTAGCATATAGGAGGCCAAGTTGGACCACCAGCACCATGTATACTGGGCATGGTGGCACACACCTGTAATCCCAGCACTGGACCATCACTGGCTACATAGTGAAGCCCAAGATACATAGACCATGTCTTTAAAAAGTAAAGTAGTGGGTAGCAAGATGACTCAGTGAGCAAAGAGGTGGCTTCAAGTGTGTCCTCAGACCTCACAAGCAGGCCATGTCATGTATAACCTCCACAAAAACAAACACATTTTAAAAGTTTGGGGGTTTTGTTTTTAAGATGAAGCCAGCTGGGCCGGGCGGTGGTGGCGTACGCCTTTAATCCCAGCACTTGGGAGGCAGAGGCAGGTGGATTTCTGAGTTTGAGGCCAGCCTGGTCTACAGAGTTGAGTTCCAGGACAGCCAGGGCTGCACAGAGAAACCCTGTCTCGAAAAACAAAACAAAAAAACAAAACAAAACAAAAAAAGATGAAGCCAGCTGGCCATAGTGGCAAATACCTTTACTGCCAGTTCTTGGGCAGCAGAGTCGGTGGATCTCTGATTTCAAGGCCAGCCTGGTCTGCATAGTGAATTTCAGAGTAAACTGGCTATACAGTGAGACCCTGTCTCAAAAGGATAAAGTCATACACAAGATGGGTACAGCCAGAGGTACTAGCATCCCAGCACTAGGGAGGTAGAGGCAGGAAGATCATTAGTTTGAAGCCAGCGTGAGCTACATAACAAGATTCTCTTATAATACTAAGAATAAAAAAAATGTTAAAGGCCGGAGTTTTCAAGTGTCCATGTTAAAACATTACCCTCTCCATAATGTGTACGCCATAGCCTCAGTAATAGTGTCAGGTCTTGGGACCTCCCCTTGAGCTGGATCCCACTTTGAGCCTGTCGCTGGACCTCCTTTTCCTTAGGCTCCTCTCCATTTCCATTCCTGTAGGTTCCTACAGGAACCTTCCTCATGTGGTCACTATGTGTCTTTAGTCTCTGTACCTGTCTCTGTGAGCTCATGGACTAGTCTGTTTTGCTGTTGTTGTCAAGTCCCACATCCCCTGTGGCCAGAGTCTTGTGTGTGTGTGATATCTGTGGGACTGCACATGTGCATGTGGGCATGCTGTGCATGTCAAGGCCAGAGTTGACATTAGGTGTCTTCCATAGTCACTCTACACCTTATTATTTTGATGACATCTGTTGGAATTTGATGGATACAGAGTTTGGAAATCGGAGACGAGTTTGCAAGAGTCAGTTCTCATCTCCTGCCATGTGTGTCCTGGGCCTTGAGCTCAGGCCTCAGGCTTGGCAGCAAGTGTTATCTCATAGCCTTTTGACATTGTGTTTTGAGTCAGGATATCTAACTGAACCTGGGGCTTGCTGACCTTTGAGTTCCAGGGCCCTTCCTGTCTATACCTCTCCTGGGGCTTCAGATTCACACTGCTATGCCCAGCTTTGTCTGTGGGTGCTGGTATCTGAATTCCTTATCCTCATGCTTGCAGTGAACCATCTGTATAGCCCTGTCCCTGGGCAGAGTGAGCAGTGCTCACATCCCTGCCCTCAGGCCACATGGGGAGTCTGCTGGAGCACATGGGGCCTGGCACAGGCAGACAGAAGAGTATTCCTGTTTCTCCTCCAGGCACGGCTGGAGCGAGATCTGAGCAACAAGAAGATCTACCAGGAAGAAGAGATGCCGGAGTCTGGTGCAGGCAGTGAATTCAACCGCAAGCTCAGGGAGGAGGCGCGCCGGAAGAAGTACGGCATTGTCCTAAAGGAGTTTCGGCCTGAGGACCAGCCTTGGCTACTTCGTGTCAATGGCAAATCAGGAAGGAAGTAAGTGGTGCTGATGGGGACGGTCCAGCCTGTGGTCCTCACACATGCACACTTTGGGGACATCTTCCTCGAGTTTGTACCCAACAGGATGGTGGTCCCAGGACCTCCTCCTTATCAAAGTTTAATCTTGGAGGTAAATTAACTGGATACTGTTGGCTTGGCTCAGCAGCCTCCATATGACCTGCAGGTAGGGCCTTGACACTTGGGATGACCCCATGGGAGAGGATACTCCATTGCAAGGAAGGTGGAGTCTGACGGAGCCAGTGACAAGTGCTCTATGCATAGTTATTCAATGAACTGATAGCTGGAGCCTGCTTGGTGTAGGGCCCTCGGTAGCCATGGATACCATGGGCTGGGAGCAGGATACACAGAGGCAGGGTGATGATTGGGCTAAAGAGATGGTGGCCTGTGCCGTTCTCTTCTAGTCATTGCTAGAAGAGCCCAAATGGGTACTGTAGAGGGGTGGATGGAGAGCAGGCAGGCCCTGTGGATGGGAACCTGACTTAACCTAGGCTCTCCACAGGTTCAAGGGCATAAAGAAAGGCGGGGTAACAGAAAACACGGCCTACTACATCTTCACACAGTGTGCTGATGGTGCCTTTGAGGCCTTCCCTGTGCAGAACTGGTACAATTTCACACCGCTGGCCCGGCACCGCACACTCACTGCTGAGGAAGCCGAGGAGGAATGGGAGAGGTGAGCCAAAAGTGTTTGTTATAGTGTGTATGCCTTTAGAGCAAGTCTGTCTGGAGCTGGCAGCTGTCTGCTCAGTACTTGCTTGGGCAGACCTGTCTCACTTGCTTGAGTCTTTGGCCTGGGAGCTGAGGGAAGGCTGGTACCACAGATAGGCACAGCCTGGGGGTTCAGGGAGGTGCCTCCTAA